ACTCAGGAGGCTGAGGCAGGAGGATTGCTGGAGCCCAGGAGTTTGAGGTTGCTGTGAGCTAGGCTGACTCCATGGCACTCTAGCCCAGGCAACAAAGTGAGAGACTCTGTCTCAAAATAAATAAAAAATAAAAAAAATAAGAGGACTGTGAAATTCAGTCATTTAACTCTTATGTGTAAACTTGGCCACAAAAAACTATCCCATATGCAGAAGGAGACATGTCTAAAAGCATTCAACATAGCACTGTTAACTGGAAACAACCTACATAGCAATCTACTTGTTTCTCCACGGATACATGGATAAAATGGTATAATAAATTCTAACACTGAAATAATACAAAGCAATTAAAATTAATGAATTAAATCTATAAGACTTAAGATGAATTCATCTCAAAATATGTTGATGGAAAAAATGTTGTTCAAAGAGTATAATTAACATACTATTCATGTAAATTAAAAAAACTTTCAGAATATATATTGTCACATATACATACATATGTTGTAAAAGTATAAAAATATATCTAGAGAAAAAAACATGAATTTTAGAAGAACATCATGTCTGGGAAGGGGCTGTACTTCTGATGGATTTTTGTAATGTTTTCATATTTATTTTTTTTTTTTTTAACCTTGTTTGAAACTAGCCCACGTGCTATATAACAAACTACAACACCGCGTGGCCAGCTTCAGAATTACTTTTCCTCCTTTTACGACCACCAAGACCAGTGTTCAGATCTGATGGGAAAGGGAACTGGAGGGCTGTTTTCATATTTAAACAAACAAAAAATCAAACCAATAAAATGTCAGCATTTGTTAGGTACATAGATATCATCTATATGATTTTACTTTACTTATTTTGAAATAGTTCCAAAATTATAATTTAAAATAAAAATTGCAAAGGGGGAAAAAGAATAAATATGGATTTATGCCAAGCCAGATGCATCTAGCCAGCTACCGATTTTTTTCAAAACTACATTTTAAATGTTCTGAATATTTGAATGATAATTCTCTCACATTATTCACAATACACAGTTCTAACCCCAAGGAAAGAAACACACACACATACTCACAAAACAATCTTGTTTGTAACCAATAATTGCTAAATAACATAATGAATGTGGTTCTGGCATTTGCTTTTTTCCTATCCTAAACACTCAGGATACATTTGAAAGCGCAATCAGCCATAGTAACAATGGGAAAGAAAAGGATGGGGAAGAGACCTTTTCATTCTTGTAAGCCAGTGTGATCTGTGAGTGGGGGTGAGGTGAGGGATGGAATGTTAATCGGCACATCATGGAACATTTTAAAATCGAAAGGAATGTGTCATATTCCTTGGTACCAACAGGGAGACAAGAAAAGCTGAGGGGGCTGGGGGGTAATCACTGCTCTAGAGCTGAGTCCTCTCCCTCAGTACTTTCTTGACTTTTACAGAAGAACTGGATCCTTGTACAGTGTTCTCAAAAGTGAGCTATAGACTGCCAGGCAGAGGCAGACTCAGGTCTGAAAGGAAGAGGGAATTTTAAGGGGTGGAAGCCCAGAAGAATGAAAGAGTCTGGTGGTGGTGGAGTCTCAGCAGAGCTGAGCCTGATGGACGGGCTAAGAAAGGCCAGAGAGCTGCTTCTTCCTGAGGAAAGGAGCCAGCAGTCCTTTCTTTCAGTACAGTGTCCCTGGGGTGTTCAAAGCCATGTGTACTGCGTAACACTGACCCTGCTTCCCTGGCAGCTGCTGCTGAGTCCAAGGATCAGTTTGTGAGGCACGGGCGGATCAACAGGGATTCTCCTTTGTGGACTGTAACCGAGCACACAATTAGATCCCCTCTGCCTAGGGTTTAAGAGGTCAGAGGCACAGTGGGAGCACAGCAGACATGTTAAAATGGTTTCACATCAGGACAGAGCTGCCTAAAATGGAACACCTGTAATACTCTAACAAAGGAGTTAAAAGTGGCTTTGAACGCTTGCTGGATGGGTGGGGAAATGCAGTTCAGCACTGGTAGGTAACACAGAATGATAAAAAGACAGTCTGGCACCACATAGGCAGAGGTTCTCAATTTGAGAATTGGAGACAAGAGAAAGATACATGGATAATTTAGAAAAAAAAAAACAAAAACCGGTTTCTAGTCAGACAAAATATGCCCTGAATCTCAGGGGGTAGAAAGGCATGTAAGATTTCTTTGTTTGCTATGAGGGCACAGTTTTACAAAGCTAAATAACTAATGCAAACTAAATTCTTTCTCTTCTGCAACTTGGAATTTTATTTCTAAACCTTCACCATGGACTCTGATGTTAGGCAATCCTAAATTTAGTAACAAAAAGCCAAGTTTGCCATTTGAAAGTCCTATACCTTCAAATAAAAACAACTACTATTCAAATATACTTCAAATCAGGGATCTATGACCTTTTCCCTAAAAATAAACACTTATTAATGAGATGATCAGAAGTAATATCTCTTCTCTTTTAATTATTTTTCTTACCAAATGCACAAACTATGAATAAGTCTACATTATGTCTACATTTTAAACTAGGTTTCACAGGTGTAAAATTGGGATTTAGTTATTTTCCTTCTAGTAACTTTAATGTTTTGGTGACTACCCTTTCATTTCCTTCTTATCTCCTTTCGTTTAAGACTTCTCCCTGTTTCCTTTAAGTGACAGTTAATTTTATTTGTATTAATCCAGAACTTGCCCAAGGCAGCTCTGAATTTATGCCACAGGATAAAATAAAAAATATACCAATGACCACTTATTTATTTTAAAAATTCTTTACAGACCCAAATATATAGATAAGCAAAAAGGTAAATAAAGATAAATAATAATGCCCATGCATAGGTATGTGATCACGGGCAAATGACTCCAACTCCTGGGACGTTTCTCTAAAACGAGGGGCTTAACCAACTGGGCTTCATGATCTTCTCAGTTTGCTCTGTTGTATAAAAAGAAAAACCTATAGCTAAAATGAAATTCAAAACTTAACAGAGGACACATTATAATTTTATTACTGATGGGTTTATGTAAACATAGGGAAAAAAGACAAAAATCAAATCTACATATCATCTACTTTAGAGTACTAGGGGCTTATTTTCAACTCAGGGGTATCTGATCTGGATTTATTTTTATAAACTTGATTTAATTTAAGGAACCATTGCCCCCTTGTCTATATTACCCGGGTATGAACTCTAAATCATGAGTCAGAAAGGTGATTCTCCTCTGTATACTCTTAAATCTCTATATTCAGTGCTCAGACACTGCTCAAAGTCTTCTACTATTCTTACCAAACTGTCAGAGGGAAATCTATACTTTATATTACAGTGTGTTCAGAACCTCCAAATTCACTCAGATGTACACAGCAGCGGTTTATACAGCAATTTTCTTTTCCTCTTTAATAGGAAATTAATCTGTTTAAGAGAAGTTAAATTATGAAGTTATAACTGTATCTCTAGGGCTTGAAAAACATATAAGGCAAATGCTTAATTTCTCTAAGAATTAATTATCTTAAATATTTTTCTCTAGAATATTGCTATGTATAATAATAAACTCTATGAAAGTTTTCTTAAATAACTCTATCATCTATCAATTATGGAAACACAAACAGCTCACTCTAAAAAAACCTGACAGCTTGCTGCAGCTTTGTCCCTTGAACACTGAGAGATGTGCACAGTGCTGGGGCCAGGAGTCACTCCTGAGTACTTCCCCTGCCTCCAGTCCTGCAATCTCCATCCTGGAGGCTAATTAAACTGCCTTCATTCTAGAATAGGACAGAAAAAAGCAAAAAAAGGAGTTGTAAGCATTTCTTGGAGTGTCAAGCATAAAAGCAATGCTGGTAGCATCTACCATTCTAGTCATAAAATCTACACCTTGGCTTATGATACATACATGGGAGATCATGACACAGATCTCCACAGATGCAACACCTCTGATGATCAAATAAGAGTGCCAACCACTGGCTCATACACCTAGGCACGTCCACACTCACGCACACCACCACATGCAGCCAGGGAGATACCACCATAGCTTGGGGCTGACAGAGAACTCATTTTTTCCTCTAAACACTCATTTTAAGATTCACACTGATTTCTCCTCTTTTCTGCACCCCAATCCCATCCTCTTCTAGTTACTACTCCTTGGAAAATTAAAGCTGCAATAAAAGGTTGAAAACCTAAATAGGAATGCTTGAATGTTTGTTTTATTTATGGCTTAATTCTCTACCCCAGAAGACTCAGCAATAGATTCGAGTAAGCCTGAATGAAAAGTGTGTAGTCCTTCCCCGAAAAATGCACACCAATTGTGCTTACCATCAGAGGGCAGCTTTCCTCTCCCTTTTAGCTTTAAAGACTGTAGTATTATCCCTTACAAAGTAGGGAGAACAGGAGTGTTGATTCCAATTTGTCTTTCATTTTTATTTAAGCCACATTTGCTTGTGAGATCATCAAATCTGATTTCAATATTCTAGTCATATCAAAGAAATAATTGGGTCTGAACTTACACAGACCATTTGAATCCTAAATGCAGACCTCACTAGCCACTCTTCTTAGCTTTTGAAAAATAATTGAGATTTGACAGCCGACAGAGACGATGACTTGCCACAAAACATACCATGTATCACCCACCCACTTCCTTCCTCCCCCATCTCCAAAAAAGAAGCAAGCACTTATTAAATGCTTAATAGTAAAATGTTCACATCTGTTTTTCAAATTTTATTTTCTGCTCTGCATTTTGCTTACATGAGAGTATTTTTGAAAATATTTTAATTCTGAATACCCTATGAAACATAATAAAAGAATCAATGGCAAAGGCTTCTATTTTAGATATTCTAGAAGGTATATTTGTACAAACAACTAACATTTTAAAAAACTGATTTTAAAATATACTCAAAATGCACCGACATATTTGCTCACCCAGTTCTCTCCCCACCCCAAGTGGCTGCCTTTCATCGTTTAGGAATATAGTTTAGGACAGCAAACAAGAGTACTTTTTAAGTGAGAGGAAGCCTGTGTTAACTTCTGACCTACCTCAAAGAACATATAGAGAGACAGCAACGTGAGTCCAAGGTTATACACCACTAAAATTCCCCGGCAAGAGAATGGCGGTCTATTCTTCATGTATTTTGGCCCCAGCCATACAATTAGTAAATATATGATGGAACAGACCAATGTAGGTATATAATTGTCCAGAAGAAACCATCCTTTTACTCTGGTATCTGAAAAATAATAAAAGAAAAATATTTAGTGATTAATAAGGTAAATATAAAAATAACCACAAATGTTTTGAACATTAAAAAAAATCTCTGACCACCATTTTATAAAAAGTCACCTAATCCAGCTCCAAACCATTCAAAAAGAAAAAAAAAAAGTCACCTAGTATTAATATTCCTAATCCCAACAAAGCAATCAGAAGAGGAGGCATGAATTTTCAAAACATACCAAACAAGGTGGGAAACACTCATTCTATTTTAGGGAACAAAGTGTTACCCGATTCTAGAATTGCAAATAAGATCTTGGAAAAAAAGCAATTAAGATCTTGGGGGAAAAAAGAAGGAAAGAAAGAAAAAAACCAAGGTGAATCACCACAGATTCAGGGGGTGGGGGGTAGACCCACATCTGAGGGATGTGGTGAGCATGTGGAGGGAAAGGGCATACCTCTAACCCTTGCTAGGGAGAGGCAAAGATATGAAATGTAACCAAAATGTAAAAAAAAAAAAAAAAAGAGTTAGACCTTTAAAAATAAAATAAACAAGGTTAATACTGATAAAAAAAAAACAAACAAACAAGGTGAAGCCTTCTTGTTAAATGTTCTGAATAACAATGTGTATTATTCATGGTTTTTACTAAGTAAAATCAAAATAAAAATATTCTTTCTAAAGAAGTTAAAAGGAAATTAAGGGCTGGGCGAGGTGGCTCACGCCTGTAATACTAGCACTCTAGGAGGATGAGGTGGGAGGATCGCTCAAGGTCAGGAGTTCGAAACCAGCTTGAGCAAGAGTGAGACCCTGTCTCTACTAAAAATAGAAAGAAATTAATTGGCCAACTAAAAATATATAGAAAAAATTAGCCGGGCATGGTGGTGCGTGCCTGTAGTCCCAGCTACTCGGGAGGCTGAGGCAGAAGGATCACTTGGGCCCAGGAGATTGAGGTTGCTGTGAGCTAGGCTGATGCCACGGCACTCACTTTAGCCTGGGCAACAGAGTGAGACTCTGTCTCCAAAGAATAAAAAAGAAAAGAAAAGGAGAAAGCTAGATTTTCCACTAACTGGATTTATTAACCAGATTTGTTGGATCACACATTGGGTAATGAAACTCTAGAAATGGCAGTCTGTGAACTCTAAAGTCCTCCATCTCAGTCAAGTGTCAGCGAGTCTGCCCAGCATGCGCAGACTCACAGAAAACGTGCCACTTAGCCAGGTTAGTGACACTGTTGCTAATCAGAAAGGCAGCATCTGCTATGATTACAATGGTCAACAGCAGAGGGGACAATGATTAAAAAAAGAAAACATGACAGTGAAGCAGCAACAATCAGATAAGTGACTAAGGTATAGCATTCAACAAACTATGTGAGGAGCTGCCAGTAGTAAGTAGCTGGAGAGAGAAAACCTACACTGATTTGAAAAACTACTGGTACAGGAGAGACCTTACCTGCTCTGTCCCCTTTATTGGGCAGGGAGGAGGAGGGAGAGGAAAACAGGTGAAGTAGCTGCCAGGAACAAACTGACAGCCTCTCCGCAGATGGCAGTAACCTCCCTGGCAGCCAGATCCTCTATATTATCTGTCCCCTGAAAGAGTCAACTTCATCCTCTGGCTGATCCCCAGGGAGCTGCCTCTGCAGCATGTTCCCCTTTCCATCCTGCTGTAACAATTCCCCCAAACCTGTAGCTCCTCAATCTTACCTCCCCGCCAAGACCCCCAACTCTGGAGCTCAGAGGCATATGCAGGATTTACCTCTTGCAGCTTTGGAGAAGCAGCAGCTAATGGGGACAGTCTCTGCCCTTTCTCTGACCCGCTGGTCGGTCCATCTTGCTACTCTCTCCAATACTTTTCCCCTTGATCTCACAGGACAAGCATTATGTTCCATAGAGCATGTGTCCTCTTGGGCCACTGACACCAGCCTTCCTTTCCTGCAGACACCATAACTTTCCCCATGTTTCTCTCATGGCTTGCTTTCCTTGGCTTCAGAGGGAGATGTCCTCCATGCCCTCCCCACTGGTTGTGCTAGGATGGTGCAGGGTGTTACTGTCAGCTCTGCAGAGGAAGTCCTTCAGGAAGTGGCTGGCCCCAGGAACCTTAACAAGGGGATTCTTAACACCTTTTGTTCTCAGCTCTGGGCCTTGGCTGTCAATTTTGAAAAAACAAGTTCCCACTTAGCAACTAACATTAGACTGTTACATATTTTGTGTGGATATTGCAAACAAAATAAATGCACCATGTCTTCCATTTCCTTCCATTTACTTAAAGCTCTGTTTTACACCTTGCTTTATTTATTTTGTAACAGATCATCTTTCCAAACTGGCAGGTATCCATCCTCTCACACTGCTAAGTACTTCCAGGTAAGCTAGCCCCCTAATCCTAAAGACCTGGCCAATCATGGTGGTCCTAACTCCCTGTCTGGTGGCTGGTTCAGGCATGTGCATGTGAGCAATCGTGGCCACTGAGCTTTGAGGGAAGACAGCTGGTAAAGAGTGCTGAGGAATAACTTCCTTATTCTCAAAACCATGCAAATTTATTGACTGTGATTCATTTAATCCACATTGTTAGAATTAATCTGTCAACATTAATTGTAACAATAAGAACATCAACAAGATTTTTGAGAACCAACTGCAGGGTTTTGCTCAGGATGTGCTTCATGAGGCCCCGGGCTCAAAACAAGCATGAGTTAAACACAACTCACATGGCAACCAATGTGTTAAACTCCTATTGCAACTGTGCATTTTGGGAACTTCTTTTTTTTCTTTGGTTTTTTTTTTTTTTTGAGACAGGGTCTCACTCTGTTGCCCAGGCTAGAATGCTATGGCATCAGCCTAGCTCACAGCAACCTCAAACTCCTGGGCTCAAGCGATCCTCCTGCCTCAGCCTCCCAAGTAGCTTGGACTACAGGTATGCACCACCATGCCTGGCTAATTTTTTCTATATATTTTTAGTTGTCTGGCTAATTTTCTTTCTATTCTTTCCATTTTTCGTAGAGACAAAGTCTCATTCTTGCTCAGGCTGGTCTCTAACTCCTGAACTCGAGTGATCCTCCTGCCTCAGCCTCCTAGAGTGCTGGGATTACAAGTGTGAACCACCAAGCCTGGCGGGGAACCAGTTTTAGCGACTTATAAGAATTGGGAAAAACATACCACTGATACTGGTGAAATCGATGGTATTCTCAGGCTACAAGCTTTACAGCACGATTTGATCCCCAGTTAGAGTCAGCAGAGGGCCACATTCGGCAGCTGTGTCTCCGTCAGAGGACTTCTCCAAACCATTTGTTATCCAGGACAAAGTGTTGGCCTTATCATAGAAAATGCTCACATTTTCTCGAATCTCCTCATGCAATATTTATGAGTGGCTATAAGGGGCTAGGGAGGGGGGTGGCGTCACAGAAGGTAAGCAAAACTAAAAACCATCTTACCTCGGGTGCCTAGCAATGCTTTGAAATACGGACTAAGTGATGCATCAAAATTTTCCATTTTAAAACCTATTAAGAAAAAAAAATATCGATTAATCTTTACTCAAAAATGTTTTTATACAGTGTTTTTTCATAAAAGAACAAGAACAAATTCTTTTCAAAGAATATGATACAAACAAGGTTAAGTTCCTCATGTTAAAATAAATTTTTTTTAGCTCACAAAAGTAACTTATGCACTAGTTCTAATTTGAACATCAAAAGGAAAGACACAATCCTGTGAATTCACTTTATAAATGAAGTGCCAGTTTTCTGAACTTTTTTTCTCAGTTCCATAAAAATTCTTTCCGTTAAGCTGAAATCTCAGTGGGGAGAAGAGTGGAACTAACTGGATTGAAGGTGGCAGACAGGAAAAGATCCTGTCTGGGCAAGAACTGCAACTTGAGGTAAGACAACAAAGACAGGAAGAATCATAGCAGGGAATGGAATGTCACAGTGAAAAGACAGTTTCCTCTGCTTGTTACTTTTATTATTATTTTTATAGTACTTCATGTCCACAGTAAAAAAAAAATCCAAATATTAAAAATTAAAAAAGGGGGGAGGGGACAAAGATCTCATCACTTCCCTCAACCACAATCCCTAAGCCTCACTGTTAGAAGCAAGCTAATGGTAATATTTCTTGGATACACTTCCAGAGAGTTTTCTTCTTTTGAGCACAAAGGAGGTCATGCGAAATGGATATTTTTACAGTTGTGGGCTGCAACCCATTATTAGATGATCAAATCAACTTAGCATTAAAAAAATAATAAATTGGTCATAATAGAGAGAGTGCTTTGCTCTGAGAATACTGTTTCATAAAACTTTAGTTTTATCTTATCATATTTATAAGTATTATATGATTACTCAGCTGTGATGCAAAATATATTCTCATGGGGAGGGGGAGTCACAGTAAAAAAAACCCTCAGAACAACACTGTTATAATAGCAGTGTACATATTACTTGCTTGTTTTCACTTATTAAACCATCTCAAAGATAGTATTTATAGATTTACCTCCAACTTTTTCCTTTTTCCCCTCATTTAAGATACACATTTAAAGGGTAGCTAAACATCTTTTCATATGTATGCTGACTAGATTTTCCATTAAATGTATTAAAGTTAGGAGACGTACCATTTTCAACTTTCCTGGTCATTTCCTTTTTACAAATAATCACCCATATAATAACTTCCAGGGCAAAGGCAAAATTGGTTTCATTAATTAAGCTGTTACTCATTTAACAATATTCCCCCTTCTTTGGCTTGCCACACCCTAATGTATGTATATTCTTTGGCTAATTTCAGGATAAACTATTTTAACCATAAAATTATCTAATGGTTCTAGTAGTTGCAATTAAGCCAATCCAGCCCAAGATGAGGTACAGACACGAGGAGCCATCAATGACACTTTGAAAGTAGCTCACAGGGTTCTGTCCTGACTGCCCAAGAGAGCTCAGGGATGGTACTGACTCCCTCAACCTGGGGCTGGAAACCAAGAAAGCAACAGTTGCCACAAACCCAGGTAAGTGCCACCACCATCAAGCCACCTTTGCCCCCAGTAGTTATGCAACTTTGGCACTAGGTCACTTCTGCAATTCAACGATTAATTTTTAACATAACAGTAGTCCCTTCTTATCCACAGTTTTGGTCAGCTGAGGTCAACTGTGGTCTGAAAATACTAGATGGAAAATTCCAGAAATAAACAATTCATAAGTTTTACTTACCTACCATCCCATTCTGTCCCACCTGGGACATGAATCACCCCTTTGTCCAGTGTATCCATGTTGTCTACGCTCTCAGACCGTTAGTTACTTAAGAGCTCTCTCAGTTATCAGATCAATTGCCATGGTACTGCAGTGCTTATGTTCAAGTAACCCTTAATTTACACAATTGTTTTATTTAATTATTAGTTATTGCTATTAATCTCTTACCTAATTTATAAATCAAACATTATTATAGGTATGTATATACAGGAAAAAACAAAGTATATCTAGGGTTTAGTACTATCCACAGTTTCAGGCATCCACTGGGGGTCTTGGAATATGTCCGTGCTTTAAGGGGTGACTAGTGTACTGTAATCCCTAGACCATTCTGGTCCTAAGCCATTTTCCTCTGCAAGACTGAACCTCTTTGGGAAATAGAAATTCTAGAAAATTCCAGTGAAGAGAATGGGCTTAACTTTATATTTCTTTCTTTCTTTCTTTTAAGATAGTCTCACTCTGTTGCCCCGATTAGAGTGCCGTGGCATCAGCCTAGCTCACGGCAACCTCAAACTCCTGGGTTCAAGCAATCCTGCTGCCTCAGCCTCCTGAGTAGCTGAGACTACAAAAGCATGTGCCACCATGCCTGGCTAATTTTTTCTGTTTTTGGTAGAGACGGGGTCTCGCTCTTGCTCAGGCTTGTCTTGAACTCCTGAGCTCAAACAATCCGCCCGCCTCGGCCTCCCAGAGTGCTGGGATTACAGGCGTGAGCCACCACACCCGGCCCAGCTTTGTATTTCTTTTTTTCCATTTTCAGTTGGCCAATTAACATTTTTATTTTTTTATTTTTTTTATTTTTAGTAGAGATGGGGTCTCGCTCTTGCTCGGGCTGGTCTTGAACTTCTGAGCTCAAAGGATCCACCCGCCTTGGCCTCCCAGAGAGCTAGGATTACAGGCGTGAGCCACCACGCCCGGCTAGCTTTGTATTTCTTAAAGCTAATTAATTCAGCTTTAGAAAGACTCCCTGCTTAAATAAGAAATATGTTATCTATTAAAGAGCACTGTAAATTCTACAGTTAAAAAAATAATTTGCCTATTTTTTCAATAGCTATTGAAAATCATGTAGGAAATCCAAGTTTTGGAAAACAACCAGCATGTTTTTGTGAAATCTAAATCACACTTCACAACTTAATTTCATCTATAATGAATGGTGGGCCATGTATATGGAGGGCACAGTGTCCCCTGCACCCCACTGGCTGCATCCCAAACAACCAATCAAGAGGAAATAAGGAGGAACAAAGCCATAAAGGCCATGGCTATCAGACTGAATACCTGCTTCTGTGTTTAAGAAGACCAAATTAATTAATACACACAGGGCCCTCAGAGCAGTGCCTGGCATGTAGTAAACCCTCAATAAATGTTTCCTACTATATGTCTGCCCCAGGATCAACTCCATGAAAAGGAATACTGTCAACCACCCATGGCTGTCCCAGGTTTTCCACAGGAGCACTGCTGGCATTCTGAGTGGAAACAATTGTTATTCTGTGCACTGGGGAATCATTAACTAAATGCTACCAGTGAGTCTCCAGTCATTGTAACAACCTACAATATCCACTCCTAAATCCTAGTACACGCTGTAGGGGAACGACATCAACAGAAGGTAGGTGGGAGTTGATAATATCTCAGGAGAACCTGTCAGAGGCATTACCTTACATGAAAAACAAGACTAAAAGGAATATACTAACTAAATACACACATATCAAGCACTACTACAAAGAATTGCTAAATAGGGATAAATATAAAGCAGTGACCTGCTGACCCAGAAGAAACAAGACATTTATAATGGGGAAAAGAAGCCAGACCCAATAAACCAAAAACGAAATCCAGTTTGCAAACGAGAAGATGTTAGAATGACACATAGTAATACAAGCTGCATATATATATTTAATATCATGCTGCAAAAATAAAATTCAAATAATGGTATTCTGGGATCTAACATCAGGAAAATTTCTAACAAAAACAATAATCGAATCAATTACTCTACTTTTTAACTAAGAGGTCTTTCAGAGGGCTGTGACCAAGCTGGAAACAAGAGTGAAGGAATTCTTAAAAATGACAGGATACAGAGAGGTGCAGGTGAGTGTGGGGAGGGAGAACATTAGTGGACCTGGAAAAAAAATGAGGCAGCCCAGGAATTGCTCTAAATGACCTATTCCTACAAGGACAACAGCCTAGGACATAGTCCAATTTGAGATTCTAGGCTACCATCATGGCAACAGAAAAGCAGCTTGATGAAACATAAGGCAAACTTTCAGTCCAAGAGTACTAAACCAGCAGCAGGCTACCAAAAGGGATTGTGGAATTCAGTATTTGGAGATATTGAAGAATCCTGTTACAAGCCATCTGTCCTGAGCAATCTGAATCTAAACCCATCTCAAACAGAGGGCCGGTGGTAGCTGGCAGGCACAGGAGCACTTTCTTGCCTTTATAAAATGAAATGTCTTCTCTGTGAAAGCACCCATAAGAGATGATGTTTGTCAAAAATGTATCTGTTCTCAGACTATATTTCTTCTCAGCTTAAGAATTCTTCTCTTAGATTTACAGAACTTTTCACAATCAAACTTAGGAACATACTGAAATAGCTAGCAGAACATTCTCTAAAAGAACAAATATGTGGAAAATAACAATGACAATAATTTTTCAAAGAGCTCCTGTTGTTCCTGAAATGTCTACAGGTGAGAAGGGAGGAAGGGTGGGGAAAGGTGGCCCCTGGAGCACATGCCCCTAACCAGGAGAGGCCTGATCCATGAATCCCAGGCCTGATTTTGGGCTGGACTCTAATATGTTAAATATTTTCCCTGAACTCTCCCCTACCACACCCACAACTGGACATGTACTGTAATCTTTTTTTTTTTTTTTTTGAGACAGAGTCTCAATTTGTTGCCCAGGTTAGAGTGAGTGCCCTGGTGTCAGCCTAGCTCACAGCAACCTCAAACTCCTGGGCTCAAGCAATCCTTCTGCCTCAGCCTCCCGAGTAGCTGGGACTACAGAGGCATGAACCACCATGCCCGGCTAATTTTTTCTCTATATATTAGTTGGCCAATTTCTTTCTTTCTATTTATAGTAGAGACAGGGTCTCATTCTTGCTCAGGCTGGTTTCGAACTCCTGACCTTGAGCAAATTGCCAGCCTCGGCCTCCCAGAGTGCTAGGATTACAGACGTGAGCCACTGTGCCTGGCCAATCAATGTACTATGATCTTCTAAGACAAGGTTGTTTGTTTTTACACAGGTTACCAAGAGACATCTTCACCAAAGGTTTCTTTCATCGTTTACTCAAC